AGGAGCAGCAGCAGCAGCAGGCTGATTGTTTGGTGCTGGAGGACAGCGGCGATAGTGACTGAGGAGCGTGGGCCACGTGCGTGGCAAGGCAGCAGAATCCAGCATAATCATCCTCCTCCTCCTCCCTCCTCCTCTACCTCCTCCATCCTCCACGTCCATCCTCCTCCATCCTCCTCCATCCTCCTGCACCCTCCTCCATTCTCCTCCTCCTCCTCCTCCTCCATCCTCCCCCATCCTCCTCCATCCTCCTCCATCCTCCTCCATCCTCCTCCTCCTCCTCCTCCTCCTCCTCCTCCTCCCCTCCTTCCTCCTCCTCTCCTTTTCCTCCTCCTCCTCTCCTCTCCTCCCCCTCCTCCTCCTTCCTCCCCTCCTCCTCCTCCTCCATCCTCCTCCCCTCCTCTCCTCCTCCTCCTCCTCCCTCCTCCTCCTCCTCCTCCTCCTCCTCCTCCTCCTCCTCCTCCTCCCCCTCCGCCTCCTCCTCCTCCTCCTCCTCCTCCTCCTCCTCCTCCCCTCCTCCTCCTCCTCCTCCTCCTCCTCCTCCCCCTCCTCCTCTTCCTCCCCCTCCTCCTCTTCCTTTGCGCCAGAGGCGAGCACTGGCGCAACGCCCTGGCCTGCGTTTACGCCCACCAAAGAAGAGTCCAAGAATACAGTAGGGGCGCGCACCAAGAAACCATTTGCCTTTCGTCAGGGTGCCCTGGGTTTCTTCGCGCCGCGCGATGCGCGTTGGCTTCCCGCGGCCGTCGGAGAGGCTGCTGCGTTCAGAGTGCCCTGGGTTTCTCCTCGGGTGCGCCTCGAGCGCGGGTTTTCAGGGTTGGGTTCCTTGCGAGGGTTTCTTGCGGCCTCGCCCGCACTGCATTGTCGTTTGCGCGCCCCGCTCTCACAGCATGTCTGGCAGAGGCTGTCTGGTCTTCACGCCTCGTGCTGGCGTTCGGAGAGCCGTGCGTTTGCTAAATAATCATTTTACTCCAGGAGCGTTTCGTGGTAGGCCTACAGGAATGCCGGGACGGTCGGTCCCCGCTCCACGGAAGGCGGAGCGCAGGTTCTCATCGGCAACACCCCAACATACTTATACTATATGTGCGTCGCCCCCCCAGGGGCGACGCGCGCACCGAGAAATCTTATAGTATATGCGTCGTGGCGTGCGCTTTCTGGCCACACCGCTCGGGAAACGATATACTACAAGATGGGTATACTACATATTCGGGTCGGACGCGCGCCTCCAAGGAGGACATATAGTATTAGTATGTCCATGTGCGTCCCATCTCACGCGTGCTCTGCTGCGCGGGGGGCTCCCAGGCTCCAGGTGCCTCCGCTGGGAGGGCTTCCGTGGACCTCCGGGGCAGAGCATCCTGGTGGGGCAGGGGCAGATGGCACGTCGAGTAGGACTGTCCAGGGTCGGGATTGCCAAACACACGTTGTACACCACCTGTCCAGCCCCGCCGCCCCGGCCAAAAGCCAGGGGGGAGGGGGGGGGGAAACGCCGAGCGAGGGCAAGGACGCCCGACGATCAGGGGGGATACCCCGGAGGGGGGAGAAGGACTTTTCAGGGGTTCCTGTGAGCGGGGTGGCTGGCTTGACCCGCGGGCTGAGGGGGAGGGGGAGGGACAAGCAGCACAGATAGCAGCGGGAGCACGAACGGCTGGAGCCGCAGCCATCTACCCCGCTGACCCCGCTGACCGGAGCCCCGACAAAAACCATATTCCGAGTTTCTTAATGAGCGTCGGGGGGGCGTCACCACCGCCGACAGCCCCACATCGACCCCCGTCGCGGGCAGCCACCGCGCCGAAGGCGCTCCGACCCCCGTCGCGGCGTGACGATGATGATGATGATGATGATGATGATGATGATGATGATGATGATGATGATGATGATGATGATGATGATGATGATGATGATGATGATGATGATGATGATGATGATGATGATGATGATGATGATGATGATGATGATGATGATGATGATGATGATGATGATGATGATGATGATGATGATGATGATGATGATGATGGGGTCGGACGATCGGCGCCGCGGCGCATGCATCGGCGGTGCCGCGCGCTTTGGGGCATAATTTGGTTCCGTCCCGACGTCGGCGGCCGCTGCATCGCCAGAGCACCGGCGATGCATCGGCGACCTCGGGGCCCAGTCTTGGCGGCGCGCAGGTGAGGGTAGGGAGGGGGGGGGGGAAGGCTTCTTTTGGAAGGGGGCTGCTTCTCAGAAGGCGCGGGCCTCACATCTGAGACACGGGCCCGCGCCTTCTAAGAAGCAGGGGGTTTCTAAGAAGCCTTCCCCCCTCCCCCTGCCCACCCCGAGACATGAGACGTCCTGATTTTGTTCAGGACGGCGTCCCCGGAAGTCCAGACCCTTTCCCCAGGGCCGGCTCTTCGTCCTGAGTCGTTCTTTGACGGTGCCCGGGCCTGGCGAGGGCCTCTAGGTGGGAGGAGGAGGAGGAGGAGGAGGAGGAGGAGGAGGAGGAGGATTAAGGAGGAGGAGGAGGCCGAAAATGGCGAAAAACCTCCCGTCCTGATTTTTGTTTGCGACGCTGTCCTGTCCGGGTTCCCCCTCTCGCCCCGCCACGCCGCCGCCGCGCCGCCTGTGGGGGCAGCGGCTGCGGCGGGCCGCCCGCCGCCCCCCCTCCCGGGCACCTCCCTCCTCCTCCTCCCTCCTCCTCCTTCCTCCTCCTCCTAATCCATCCTTCTCCTCCTCCTCCTCTCCCCTCTCTTCCTGCTCGCCTCCTCCTACTCTCCCCCTCTTCCTCCTCATTCCTCTTCCTCCTCCCTTCCTCCCCTCCTCCTCCTCCTCCTCCTCCTCCTCCTCCTCCTCCGCTCCTCCTCCTCCTCCTCCTCCCCCTCCTCCTCCCTTCCTCCTCCTCCTCCTCCCCCTCCCTCCTCCCTCCTCCCTTCCTCATCCGTCGTCGTCCTCCTCCTCCTCCTCCTCCCCGCCTCCTCCTCTGCTCCTCCTCCTTCCTTCCTCCTCCTCCTCCTCCTACCTCCACCCTCCTCCTCCTCCTCCTCCTCCTTCATCTCCTCTCCTTCCCCTCTCCTCCTCCTTCCTCTCCTCCTCCTACCCCCCCTCCTTCCCTCCCTCCCTCCTCCCTCCCCTCCCTCTCTCCTCCCTTCCTCCTCCGCCCTCCTCCTCCTCCCTCATCATCAATCATCATCATCATCATCATCAGCATCAGCATCAGCAATCAGCATCAGCATCTAGCATCATCATCAGCATCAGCATCAGCATCATCATCATCATCATCATCATCATCATCATCATCATCATCATCATCATCATCATCATCATCATCATCATCCTTCTCCTTTTTTAAACGACGCGATCCCTCTGCGCGTGGCCAACGGTCGGGCGGCCCCAGGGCCCCAGAAGCCACGACTCTGCGCCGGATCCAGCGCGACAAAGCCACGAGTGGAGAGTGCTTCGGCCCATGGCCACAGTTCTCTCGTACGTGCCAGTGTCCTGGTTTTTCTCCTCCTCCTCCTCCTCCTCCTCCTCCTCCTCCTCCTCCTCCTACTCGTCCTCCTCCTCGTCCTCATCCCTCAGTCTCATCCCTCCTCAGCCTCCTCGTCCTCGTCCTCATCCCTCCTCAGCCTCCTCCTCCTCCTCCTCCTCCTCCTCCTCCTCCTCCTCCCACGTGCGTGCCAATGTCCTGGTTTACCCCTGGGCCCTAATCCACAGAGGCGGCTCAGCATGGGGTCGTACAGCGCCGCAGGACTGAGACGCCAGTGCGGTCGAGGGAGATGCTCCACTGCACTCGCCTTCCAGCTCTGGTGGCCGTTTACCTCCACCTCCACACTCTCTGGAGTGGATCGAGGAGAGCAGCGGGTCCCGCCGCCTGAGGAGAGCCCAGGTTTGAGGGGCGTCTGGGGGACGACTTGGGCAGCCGTCGTGGGGTGATCTCTGGGGCCTCTTGGGCGTCGTGGGCGCCCTGACTTGGAGCCGTCTGGGGGTCTGCGGCGACCTCTGGACCGTCAAAATCGGATCCGGGCTGAAAAGCCTGCACCAGGCTAATGTTGCTCCCATCGTACGTGAGGACCACATCCCAGAAATGATTTCGAGCACCTGGAAAAGTATCGAAAGAGTGTCGAGACAGTGTCGAAACAGTGTCGGACGAGTGCCTCCCAGGGCCCGACACGTGAAAACCTTCGAGTTTCGGTATTTTTATGTTGCTCGAAATTATTTCTGGTGATCAAGTCTAAAGTAGGTTGGAACATCATAGCACCAGATGGACCCCGGGAGGGGTCCTAGGACCGATGTCGAGCGGATTTGGCTTCATCTCCCCCTCCCGACCGATGTTCTGGGATCCCAGCCGGCTCAGCCCCTTCAGCCGCCTCCGAGCTCTGGCATGCGAGAGGGCGGAACTGAGGTTAAGTCGGGCCTGTCCCTCTGCAGGGGGGAACCTTCAAGAACACATCGCACACAGGTATAATGATGTTGTGAGCATTTCCAAGCATCCGATGATACATAGTATAATGTTCAGTCATACACCCAAGGAGGAATGAACGCGGCATGCTAACATCAAAGAAATGTACATGGCTATACTGTTGGAAACGCAGACCATTGGAATAGCACATTGCATCGTGCTTTCGATTGTAAACAGGTACATCGTACCAACATGCTGGTTCATATGTGCTTCCGCGCAGCAGCCTTAAAGCTTCCAGAAGATTGAAGGAGTTATATATTGACACAGTCACGTTAATGCAGCATCTTGATTCGTCGAAACTCAGACCCAAATTAATACGCCATGTGTTGAACAGGTCGGGCGAGACGGGAGAGTGAGAAAGAGAGAGAGAGAGAGAGAGCGAGATGCGAGGGAGGGAGGGAGGGCAGGGAGTAAACATGGCTGATGTTCGATTGGGCAGCACTGCAACAAACTCAGGACGCAGGTGGCGTGGTAGACCTTTCGCACGGCCGCACGCATTCGACTCTCCAACCTGTGACCACATCATACATGTTCAGGGTTGCAGACTTCACTGCTTGCTTGTCACGGTTGGCCCGCTACGTTTCTATGTGTGTTCAGACGTGTTCGCTTGCGCATACCGTGCCCGAATTCGGTCCAGGTTGCAGCCATTGAAGTCAAGATTTTGTGCATGTGCGCGTGATCATCATTTGTCGACATCATCCCAGCCATGCCGACGTTCGTCAAGCTCTTCCACACCACAGCCAATTATGGCAAAGTTATACCAGTGCCGACACGCTCGAATGATCCGGACATTGGTGTGCCGGCATTGTGGGCCATGGTGGTTCCGCACGGTGATAGGTCGATGCGGAAAGGCAAGGGGAAAGGTACGAAGGCGTCCCTGTCTGAACCTTGTTGCAAGCATCACCTTCGCACAGTGTCTCTTCCGCAGGCGCAGTTTATTGATTGGGCTGGCGAAGACAGAGAATCTGAGTGGAGCCTTTTCTTCGTTGGCGAGCGGCCTGGCGACAACAGTTAGCACACGTTTTTCAAATACGTGTTGTTTTGCACCTCTGACGGCAGCTCTCCGTTGAAGACTTGCAAAGATTGGAAGAAATACCGAGAGGCATTCTCGGGGGTGAAATCACGGGAGCTGTTCAGGAATTTGGGACAGTTGTGGGACGAGTGGGACTTTGGCAGTGGCAAGTTTGGCAAGACCAACCATTTCCACATTGGAATATTGGGCACCACCGCCTTCAGCCAGTACATGGAAGAGAACGAGGTGGAGTGGCGGCAATTACGGCCCGACTTGCCAACAATACATGGCCAGAACGATGGCGAGGGCGAAGGTCATTCGGAGTCTGAGTCTCTGACGGAAAGCGAGATCTTCCGGCACTTTGCCTTCGAGAACGATGAAAATGACGAAGGGGGCAGCGCTTGGTCCAACGTGAAGCCCAAGCACAAGGCGTTGGACGGGTGCTTGCCATTCTGTTTCGAGGCAAGTCGGAACATTTTCCCCGACTACGATGGCGTGTTCCGCCATTATTGCCGTGCGGAGGCCGTGTGGCAATGCCGCCGCAAGACTTGCACACGAAACCCCACAGCCGGCGCTGCCACAGCGCATTCGCGCAACAAGAAAGATCAAGACGAGGATGCGGGCGACAATGAGCCGCGCACGTCGTGGCGCAGTGCTTGCTGCTGGTACCACGAGCATCTCAAGCACAAGGAGACACAGGGGTTGCGCAAGGGCTTCGAGCGGTAGTATTGCGGCGAGTGCTGGAAGAACAGCCGCGACTGGGTGGAGGGTCAGATCTGTAAGTTTTTCAAGCCCGGCACTTTCGCCTTGGACGACGAGGGTGGTAGCAAGCGTGGGTATCACAACCCAGAGATCTGCGAGGTCTGTCAGCGCCTCAAGGACAAAGGCTTCGACGATAGTTGCAAGAAGTTCAGCTTGTACCTAGCCAAGGGCAAGGTGAAGGTGGAACCCGGTGCGACGGGCTGGGCCTGGGCCTAGAGCTTCAGGCGTGCCCCTTAGGATGGCGGTGCGAAGGCGCCCCCCGATAGAGATATCGCCTTCGACGGTGTATCGACCCGTTTGTGGTCGTAGGTATGGTGGCAATGGCAGTGCAAGTGGTAGCGCGAGTGGTAGTGCGCGGGGAAATGGTAATGCAAGTTCTAGCGGTTGTGCTAGTGGTAGTGCTAGTGGTCGATCGTGTGACAGTGATTTTAGTTTTGCTAGTGGTGGTGCTGGTCGCAGTATCTTGTTATGATCACATTGATTAGTAGTAAGTCGTACGCAGTGATAGCAAGTAACAAGCCACAGCTAATCCATATCATGTGGTTTCGTAATGTGTAGTACTTTGCTGCGGTGGTTGTGATAGTATTTGCTTGGTCGTGGTGGTAGTACTTGTAGTATGGGTTTGATAGTGGTCGTGGCAGTGATCGTGGTCGCGGTCGTGGCCGTGGTAGCAGAAGCAGCAGCAGCAGTTGCAGCAGCAGCACCAGTACCTCTCACAACAGGAGCAGCAGACGGAGTCGACATGAGCGTGTGAGCTCTTCGGCCTTATGGCTATGCACAAGTGCTATCTTGCTCTTAGTTGGACAGCACACAGCACAATACGTCATGGCAATGGTCGTGATGATGCCAAATCAAGTGTTGTTATGTGCGTGTTGCTGTTCATGCCAATGAGTAGGTTGACTGTTTATGTGGATGGGTATGCTAATGTCAATTTGAATGTGTATTGATGTTATCTTGTGGTTGACGATAACGACGGTGATGATGACGACGACGGTGATGATTATGAAGATGATGGCGGCGTGTGTTGTGCGTGTTTGTTGGCATGCTTTGGCCATGAAGGGCGTGTTGGACGCCTTCACGGCCTTTGAGGCTATGATCAACTGCAGTCTCTGTTCGGCGTTGCTCGGCGGTCGCGGCAAAATGCGTTATCATCAAGTGCGTTCGGTAGAGGCTCAAGACACCTCACGTGGAAGCTGGCATTCGTAGTGTGCTGCTTGCTTGTGTGGCTTGTGGCGGCAGCCGCAGTGGCAGACGTGCGACAGCATTACGCCACCCCACAGTTGATATCATTGATCTCATTGTTATTGATATTTTTGCTATTGTGGTTACGAGCGTCAGCATGCTTGTTCATGCCAGTGTTATTGTTATGCTTGTTGGTATTGTCATTGTTATTGTAAGTGTTATTGCCATGATTGCCATCACCGCAATCGTTGTCTGAGTTATTGATATGGCTATTTATATTGGTGTTGTTACCGGCATTGGTTTTGTTATTCCTAGCGTCATCGTCATTGATTTTTGTGGTTGGCATTGTTAGCGATATATTTGTTATTGTGGTCGTTATCGTTATGGCTGTTATCATTGCTAGTCGTTCGTGTTTGCCACTGTTATGTTTATCTTGATTGATATGGGCATTGGCAAAGTTGTTGTTGTTAGTGTTGTTTGCTTGCGTTAGCATTGTTATTGAATCACATGCTATTGTTGGTGTTGCCGTTTCCACTGGTATCGCCATTGCTTCGTTGCTTTACCGTTATTTCTGAGAGTTGCCGTTATTGTGAGTATGTGTTACTTGTGTCTGGTTTAAGTTCAATGTTCAATGGTCTCTGGATTGCCAGTGTTTATCGTTGTTCTGACCTTGAATCCGATTTGGTGGGTCGTTCCAGGAATTGCCACCCGTATCATATTCAAGAGGGAAACGACTTCCCAACCAAAAAAAGGGCTGCCCAACAAATAATGGACACTGCAACCCAACGCAAACACCACTACCAACACAAGCAGAAAGGGCAGCAAAAAACAAACATCAGCAAAAACGCATACCTTTTCATGATCATGTTTCTTTGTTGGATACACACACACATACATACATACATACATACATGCATGCATGCATACATACATACATACATACATATCTACATACATACATACATACATACATACATACATACATACATACATACATACATACATACACACACATACATACATACATACATACATGCATACATACATACATACATAGATACATTCATACATACATTCATTCATATATACATACATACATAGCTACATACATACATACATACATACATACATACATACATACATACATACATACATACATACATACATACATACACACATACATACACACATACATACATACATACATACATACATACATACATGCATGCATGCATGCATGTATGCATGTATGCATACATACATAATACATTACATGTACAATTACATAATGTATATGTGCATTTATAATTATATCATATAATATATATATACACGTGGGGGGGGGGGGGGCAGGCCTGGGGCCCACAAACAGGACTGGGCGGCCAGGGAGGTCCAAAATAGTCCAGGAGGGCCTCCAGAGGCTCCCCAGACGGCCCAGGCGGGCCCCGAGTCGCCGAATGACCGCTTCTGGACGCCCAAGGTAGGCCCAAAACGGCCCGAGAAGGCCCCCCCCAAGGCACTCCACGACGCTTCAAGACGCCTCTCCCGAACGCTTCAAGAGACCAACATCGTCAATTTTACGAAGGTTTTGGAGAGATTTTGGCCTTCCAGCCTTTTCGGCTGTCGGACGTTCCAGGCCAGCTCCATAGGCCCCCAAGAGCGCTCCAAGCTAGCCCAAGAGGGCCCCCAGACGGCCCCAGAGGCGCCCAAGAGAGCCCCAAGACGTCCCTAAGATGCGCCCAAGAGGGGGACCACGACTCCCACATTCGACCCTCCCGGTTGAAGAGTGCCCCAAGAGGCCCCAAGGAGCCCCCCAGAGGCCCCAGGAGGCCCCCGAGAGGCACCCAGGAGACCCAAACATGGCTTCAAGAGGCCACACAACAGCCCCGAGGAGGTCCTACAACGGTCTCAAAATGGCTACCGAGAAGCTGCGAAACTGCCTTCACGACGTCCCGACAGGCCAACCACGATATCCAAACCAACACCCATGTGGCCTTTGACCCACCACCTAGAGCACCCGCCGCCCGCCCGCCGTCCGCGTAGCACGCACCACTCTGTACTCAACAGCTTCAGTCTCCAAGACAGCACCCTGTAGTCAACAGCCCCCGTCTTCAAGGCAACACCCTGTACTCAACAAGCTCCCGCTGCAAGAGAGCACCCTTGAGGAATTCATTAAAATCCCGACCCGCCCGCCCGCCCGCCACCCACCCGCCCGCCCGCCGCCCGCCGGGCCGCTCGCCCGCCTTCTGCGTAGCACGCGCCACCCTGCACTCAACAGCTTCCGCCTCCAAGACAACAGCTAGCATTCAACAGCCCCCAGGGCTCCCAGGACTGCCCGGGCCCGCTCCCAAACACGCCACAACACGCCAAGAGGGAGACAGCCCCAAGAGGCCCCGGACACGCCGAAGATGGCCTGAGGACGGCCGACGACGCCGCCAAAACGCCCCAAGAGCGCCTCCAGAGGCCCCTCCAAAGGGCCCCGCATTGTTGCGCTCTCGCATGTTCCGCCTCCCCACTGTCCCCGACGCCGTCAGAGGCCCTTCAGATCGCTCCAAGACGGCCGAAGAGGCTCCCAAGGAAAGACCAGAGACGGCCCAGGAGGTCCCCCAAATGATTCAAGAGGGCCTCGAGAGCGCCCCAAGAGAGCCCCAAGAGCGACCCAAGAGGGCCCGAAGAGCGCGACATTTCAAGGTCTCCGCCCTGAGAGGGTCCTAGGACGCTCCCGGAGGCCATCAAGAGGCTCTCAAGAAGCCCCGTGAGGCTCCCAAGAGGCCCCCCGGAAGCCCCAATGAGCCCCCAAGGGCCCCCCAGGGAAGCCCCCTGCGGGCCCCCAAGAGACCTCGGTAAATCGCATTTCCCAGAGCTTTCCAGGAACATGATTCCTTGGGCTTTCGCCCACCGCCCCAACCATGTTTCCAGTAGGCTTGCCGACAAGGCCAAAAAGGGCCCCTCGGTAACAGAGCCGAACAAATCATGCTCCCGGAAAGCTTCCCGGGAACATGATTCTCGGGCTGCCGCCCTCTCCCCAAACCATGTTTATAAACGCCTGCCAGGATAAAACAAAAACGAGAGTCCCAAGCAGCGCTACCTGCCGCCACGCTCGGAAACGCGTCAGGCCCCGAAGCCTCCAGAGGCGCCCAACGACACCCCAACAAATCATGTTCCCAGGAAGTCTTACGGCCAGTGCCGCCGACGTTGAAGGATGATGGTCCAGGACACCCAGACATCTTCCAAACAGGCTTCCAAGAGGGCGCCAAGACAGCCTGGGGCTGCCCCCAGACGGCCCAAGAAGGCCCAAACACAGACGAAAGGGCCGCAAGTATCCCCCGAGAGGCCCCGAACCGAGGACATATCGCTCGAACACGCCCAAGATGGCCTCCGGACGGCCCACGAGGCTTCCAACACGGCCCAAAGGGACGCCAAAATCATGGATCGTCTTTGGGTTTTGGATGGATTTCGGACACCCGAAGGATTGCAAAAAAAACCTTGGGTTGCAAAAAAAACTCTGGATTTCGGACACCCGAAGGATTGCAATCTTTTTTTTGCAATCCTGTTTTTTTGCAATCCTTTTTTGCTATCCTTTTTTTTGCAATCCTTCGGGTTTTTGTTTGCAATCCTGTCGCCCCAACAGGCCCCCACGAGGGCGCCGAGACGGCCCAGGGACGCCCTGCCGCGGGCACGAGGCGAGGCCCCGGACGGGGCCCTCGCGCTGGGGGCCCCGGGGGCCCTGCCGTGGCGTTGGGGGCCTTGTAAACCCAGACCTCCTCGAGTCATGAAAAAAACACGACGGGAGGTTTTTCGCTTTTATATATTTTTTTATATAAATTTTTGTTATTATTGTTATTTATTATATATTTTATTGATTAATAATTAATCATATTATATTTTATTTTATTTTTTTATCTTATTTTTTTTTTAATTTTTAATGTAATTTTAATTTTTATTTTATTAACTTTTTTTATATTTTTTTATTTATTTTCTTAAAATTTATTTTTTATTTTATTTATATTTAATTATTTATTTTATATTATTTTTATTATAATTTTTAAATTTTTTTATTTTAATTTATTTTATTTTATATTTTTTATATTTTATATATGTTTATATTTTCGGCCCTTTTCCTTTTTTTTCTGAAACGCCCTTTACGGGACAACCAGACACTTTTGGCATGTCGACTTTGATGAAAAACCGGCCCCGGGGAATGGGTCTGGACCTCTGGGGG